AAAAATGTTTGTTTATATTGAAAATTCATTGAATTTTACTTGCATTTCATTACAAACTGACTACCGTAACTTATGTTTCGTATATTATTATAATTAAGTTTGTAACCACTCGAAAACAAGTTATTACACTTAACCAAAATGAAGGTCTTCCCCATTCTCGCCTGATGTCTAAATTAGAATATAGATGGCAAAATACTTTATATAATGCTTTATGACTATTATATTTATGCTATAATGGATTGAAATAGGGATTCAAAAATCAGTCAAAAGATTGCCCTTGGCCATGTTGTGGAGACTGTACTTGCCAAAAATATGACCTGACCTCTGAAACATTGCCCAGGGCAGGGTATTAGCATAATACGGCATAATACAACATAATAATCACATTATCCCTTTATGTTACTGTACATGGAGAACTGACATTATGGAATATGGGACAAGGACATTTGCTTGCGATTTATATTCATTATTTTCACAGAAGGGATTAATCTATGAAAAAAGACTCCATCCAAAAAGGACAACAATTTACCAACGTTTTTTTGTATTTGAGCAAACTCACTGGGCTTCAAAATCACTACTTTTCCAGTGAAGCAATGAGTTCTACTGTAATTGTTCGGATGGATTTAATTTAGCAGATTTTGATTATTAGTAAAAATAGCAAAATTAAAAACAAGCTAATATTTAATGATTATTTCTGTTTATAGAGGCCTAATTATAAACCACATTACAACATTGTACATCAGTACTGTAAAACAATTTATTTTCACTTACATTCATTGTGTTTTAATTTCACAAATTTGTCAAGGAAACAATGAGTTGTTATTTTACATGTTCCCATACATTTAATTTAGCAGATTTTACTTATCAGCGAAAATAGCGAAATTAAAAACCAGCTAATAATTAATGCATTTACAGTATGAAGTGGAAACGTGCATGAGTATGTTCAAATAAAATCAGGTAGAATAAACATTGGAATGACAACATACAGTGGTAACCTTAGCCATGCGACCCACATATATTATTACTTGCTGAGTGTCCATGGACAGCCACATACTAGCCTTGATATCCCTGGTCCTCAAGGCCAATACAAGTTTTTATTATTCATTCAAAGAGACACTTTATAACAGTAGTGAAGAATAAAAGCTGTTTGTGTCAACAATCACAGAGATTAAAATGACATCAGAGTTTATGAACACACTGTCAATGTGAACCCATTTACCTCCAGTCAGGGCTTCTATGTTTTGGCCAGAGAAATTATAGAAATAAGGATGTGTTCACCCATGCATATATATGCAAGTATACAATAAATGCATATTTTGATTGAGGTGCACTTCTAATAGAACAAATACATTCAGAATAAGAGAGTCACAAACACCATATATAATCCAAAGTACCTATAAGCAGGATGTGATTAACCAAACCTTAACCTTCCCTACTCCCATTAAGGTCATCCCCGGTAAGTAATCAATAAATAGTTATGTGCCCTTTCAGACCAATTCTTTAAATTTCACTAAATGTTAATGGCTTGTGCTTCACTTAGAAATATACTTCAAATGCTATGACTTTAATATTTATTTGGGAGACAGTCTCAAAAATTACATGCGACATATAGGTATTTTACAATAATGATGTGGTACTGCCATGTTTATGGATCTTACAAGAATACTGCCAAAAATTAAGCACATGTGCTTGAAAACATACTTTGTAAGGTGGGATACAAAAACCATCATGACCCTTCAATCTATCCTCTACTTTGCAAGGTAAAATACAAAAACAATCAGATTTTCACCCTATGCTCTACTTGTGGGATACAAAAACCATCAGAATTTCATTCTGTCCTCAAGAGGACACTACATCCTCTCTACTTACCTCATCAATATTTCGAAGCCATTTTGTAATATTGTCAAATGTTTTTGGTTGCGTAATGTCATAAACAAGCATAATTCCCATTGCCCCTCTGTAATAGGAAGTTGTGATAGTATGGAACCTTTCTTGGCCTGCAGTGTCCCATATTTGTAGCTTGATTTTCTTACCCTGTAGCTCAACGGTTTTGATCTTAAAATCAATACCTGTGAAATAATATGTAAAATCAATAAATAGGTTTTTTGCAAGTCCAGTTGTTTGAAATATAGTTGCCTAAATATTAATGGCTAAGTCTATGTCTGCAGAAAACTTCTCCATGGAAATAAAACAGAATTCCACAATGAGTTATGACAATATATACAATGGGTTTATTGATTGTACAGCATGTCAACTAGTACATGTACTATTTTATTAATATATATAATTTTATGAGATTCTTGTCATAGTTCAAAAAAGACGTGACTCGAATTCTCAGAAAACTGTATGTTTCATTGATCACACGATCTCCTATGTCCGGCTAAGGCCACGACACTTCCGAAACAATGTATTGTAACGTAAGCGTTACAATTACAGTCACATTGTCCCATTTACATGATTAGTTACAAATGTAATGTTCGGGTAATTTTGAAAAAAGAAAAACAAATATCTGTAAGGAGTGTCTGTAGTATGTTACATACGTATGCCGTGGTTACGTGGGGCACGGTGTATTTGTATAGAACTTAGCGAAGATTGGAGTTGAGCCCAAACTGCGCTGATCACAGCAGTACCTTCCGGGCAGTGGTAGCCACCATTGACATGCACATCTAATTCAATTTGACATGTCGAGAACAATGGCTGGTAAATTAAATTTAGGATAGCAGTCATTATAGTGGTGTCATGTCCGGAAACAGTGTGGCGTTTAGATACGAACATGCACGGATAACAAGCAGATGACAACAACATTTTCTCAGAACAATTCATACTCATCAGCCGCGTCAGTGCAATGTTGACACCCTATTTTTTTTACGAAGGACGGTACTTACCTATCGTAGATATGAACGTCGTGTTAAAAGCGTCGTCTGAAAATCTGAAAAGTATACAAGTCTTGCCAACTCCAGAATCTCCAATAAGTAAAAGTTTAAATAGTAAATCGTATGTCTTCTTTGCCATAATTACTATGTTTCTACTTCAAATGTAATCTCTTTCGGCCCTTGCTGAATCAAAATCAAAATGGCTGCCGACAGTACCTTGTTCCGTTTCAAGAATTCGAGTTACTTCCGGCTCCTTTCTAGGCGATGCTGCTAATTTTCAGATACTATCGGCAGTAAATACAGATTATTTGTCAAGGCCTGAAGTTGATTAGATGCGTATATATTAATGTACAAGCTGGGAAACGTGCGAACCAATGTATGATGAGTAGCTTGGGAAATTATTCGAGTACAGAAACACGGTAATAACCTTTGAACCATGATGTCACTTCATAACATGTTAATTACATCCGGGGTAGTACACGGCCTTTCTATCACGTGAGCCTGCAAGTTTGACATTCCAATCCAATGAGGCGACCAGCCTCTCCCACAATCCTTTGTGTGTCCATGAAACTGACGAGGAGGGCGTGGCACATTGGAAATAAATAGAAAGATGGTGCATGGCCCGGGTGCGTGCGTAAATGAAAATGACTAACTGAAAATAATAATACTATTAGAGAAGAAGAGTAACTGCACCTTTGATTTTCAAGTACAAAGTACAAAGGGGAAAAATAAATGATAATATATACTCATGAAACGTATTTGCCGTTTTGTAAAACGACTCGATGTGACGACCAGCAGTAAGGTCGTAAAGTTATATAACGAGAACCCACTAATAGTAGCAAATAAACAACAAAAAAAGACAAATAATAAAATTATTTTTTTTAAATGTATAGAATGCTATGTTGTTGCTGCCGTGTAGAAAAATTGCATTTAATAAATTTAGCTTTTTCAGTAATTATGTCATTTCGTTCATTATCAAAATAAATGTATAAAAATGAATATATTTGTAACATAAATGGTTCATTTTCTTTTACGTTTGATGTAGTTTCCACTGAGCTCCATCTAAATGTTTGTTTTGATATTCGTAATATATATATATATATATATATTTATTATATATATATATATATTATGACTTGGACAGTGAACAGACATTTTTTATCACTACCACACTCCTTTTCAACTTAAATTCAATTCAAACAGTTTTCTAAGAAACGGATGCAGGAAGATCCTGCAGGGGGCGACCTTCACAAAGATGCTATTGTTGCACTGCAGTTTTACGGTAAGGTATGCGTGTACGAGTATTAAGGGGTCGCTCGGTTCACCCCTTCTATTTAAATCCGCAAATGGCTCTCAATAGGTAATAGTACGCCAATATTATTTATATTACACACACATTGATCTTCATCAGTCGGGAGAATTGAACAGTGAACTTACATCTTGCCATTTTTAGATCAGTTTCTCTATAGAACACAACGACAAATCATTACGTCATTTTTATTTTTTAAATATTTCTACAACATTACCATAATTAAAGATCATGTGACGATGATTTTGGGGTAAGATATCTTTACTAGAAACTAATAATAAAATTAATTCATTACTGTCGTTATAAACTACTTTCTCCCACAAATCACAAATTAGTTTATTATTTACGTCAATCCTTATCAGAGCAATGAATACACTATAGCGATGATCAATGATTTATGTGTGTGAATTTATAATACTGTAAAATGACTAATTTTCACTGGGTTTAAATTTCGCTGAGTTACCATTTCAGGCATACTCAGTGGGTTTTAAATTCACGGTTTTATCGTTTAGATAATATGTTCTATGTTCAATTTTACATATTCACTGGGTTTTAATTTAGCGCATTTTCCAGTCAGCGAAATTAAAACCCAGTGAATAATTAACCCCTTTACAGTACTAGTAATCGAAAGGGAAATTGAACAAATATGTCTCCCTCTATCGCTTACACACGTGTGACGCACCGTGTGAGTGCACGCCTATACCATAGACCTGAGGGTCTATGCCTATACATAGACTCTAGAAAGTCGAGGCTGAGCTCAGATAATAATTACTGTTATCTGAAGTCTGAGTAAAGTTACATATTATACTACACTACATCTTCGTGATATTATTACGTGGCTTGTAAACTACAATTTGAACACACTTTTTTTAAATCCAATGTCACAAAAAATCCGTCACCATGTTTTCTACATCACAAACAGATGATTTCTCATTTCATAACGAGTGTTATTTATTTTCGTTAAAGGGCGGTAATCGTCGCGCCGCGCATGTGTGACATTTGTGTTGATAAACATTGATTTTCCCACAATCCAATGTACTCTTCTAATGGAAATCACAAGTATGAGGTTTGACCTGGGCACGACTTATCGCGTGTGACTCCTTCGATAACTTCCAATTACCTAAAAAATACCTATTAATTAAAGCTTGGTAATGTCTCAGTTTGTACTCGTTCTGTTTGTTTATATAAGACCCATATATCCCGCGCATGCGTTGCGCGACGACTATCGCCCTTTAATTTTGAGTTGACCCGTGTATGTGGTCTAATTTTATATGACTGAAACACGCACTCTGTTTCGAACTGAGTTTTCTCGACACACTTATTTGAAGTGGGACATTAATAGTGAGTTTGCCGAACGATTCATTTTTTTAGTTGTTGATGATCGATGTAGCAAGAAATGAAGATCTCCGAATGAACCAATGAAGAGGCCGTTTCCAGGCGAGATTCTGCCTGCAGAGGGCGTACTAATATTAAACCACAACATCGTATTTAAATTTGGACGATTGATTCATTTTTTATGTGTTAACCAGACATAAATCTATGGCTTACCCCAGTAAAATAATTTGAATTCATCATACATTTTATTAATATTCCTATTTTTTTTTCCAATTGTACGAAACTTGAACATGGACTGAGAGCAGCCATTAAAGCCGACTAGCTCGGCCATCACAAAACAATGTTCTATAATTAGTTTTTCCAAAAAACATATTAGACATCAGTAGAACACATTTTCATGGTTATGTTAAAATTAAGTATGTTTGGCCTTTTTACATTTTTTTTAACAAAACACATTAAAATTGGCTCCTGCTTTTGTTGTGCAACTTTCTACAGTAAACGATAGACCTGTTATGAGGTATACAAGTAAACAAGCAATATAAAGATAGATGGTGAATAACGACAAGTGAGACAAACCATGTTTGTACATGGTCTAGCTAGAGTGTACAAAGAGAAATACAACTTAAATAATATTTAAACTCAAAGATTGTTACTTTAATTCAATAAAATATTGAAATTTTCCACAAACAATAAATTTACATTATCATTTTAAATTGGACATGAATGATTTTAAAAAAAGTATGCTGACTTGGTTTTGTACACTTGCACGCACACATGCTATTTACATGCAAGCAGAGAACAGTTTTTATGCAAATCCGACAAAGAATGCAGTGGTAATTTACTTCATTAATCCCAGTTAGGTCAAAACATATATACAAGGCAGAATTTGATACGTCGAAAAAGCTGTTCTTGATTGGTCTGACTGTAAGGTGTTAAGGTTGGGTAGCCAATCAGACACAGCCTTGTAAGTTGCTTTGCATAGACTCACTAATTCCGGAATAGTTATTACAGAACTTGTATTTTTGTATGATTGATGCAATGCATCCCAAATTAAAGTACAAATGTACTGTACAACCTTTGGAGTGGCAACACAAATACCCATTAACAACCCAGGGAGTGGCAACACAAATACCCATTACAACCCTTGGAGTGGCAACAGAATTACCCATAACAACCCAGGAAGTGGCAACACGAATACCCATTATAACCCCAGGAGTGGCAACACAAATACCCATTA